TTGTGCAAAGTCTAGAAAGATGTTTACACCCACTTCATATGCATCAGATAACCTATCAGACGAAATCCATGCTTTATCCATCGACCATTACTTACCAACCTAAATAATTATAAAGTATTAGCAAAACTATAACTTTATAACTGATGATTGATGAAATATTTATGTAAGATATGAAGAACAAAATGTTTACCCCAAATTACCGAGTACAAAATAACCCTAACAAATTAAGTCTAGAAAGATGTTTACACCCACTTCATATGCATCAGATACCTATCAGACGAAATCCATGCTTTATCCATCGACCATTACTTACCAACCTAATAATTATAAGTATTAGCAAAACTATAACTTTATAACTGATGATTGATGAAATATTTATGTAAGATATGAAGAACAAAATGTTTACCCCAAATTACCGAGTACAAAATAACCCTAACAAATTCATTTTGTACTATGCTATAGAACAATGTTCAAGGGTCATGACCCATTCATAAAATCTAAAAAACCCATTTGAAACTGGAACAAACCCTAACAATGTAGATAAATTATTGGTGTTAGCCTATTCGATATCTTCTAACGTTCTTGGTGTAGCCTCAAAATCTCTGTCTTGTGCTTGTTGTAATTTAAGTTGAAGCACATGGTTGTAACATGAGAAAGCCTCATTGCCTATATTCGTAATCATCATCAAACAATTTTGCCTAAATCTAAGTTAATAATCGTATTTTCGATACTTGAATTCGGTCTGAGCATCAGATTGGAGTACATGTCTGAAACGATTATATTGGACAGAAGATTCTTAAAAGTCATATGCTAGTACCCATAGATAGACAAAAATGTTAGAAATAAACACTTCAAGAAAATATGAAAAGTCGGAGCAACATATAGTTACAAAATTCGACTAAATAAATAATAAGATAAGATGCCACTAACCAGTATACCCAGAGAACTGTATATTATGTATGGGGCATTTCTTAAGAGAGACTCAGCGAATGTCATTCCATCAATGATAGCATCCGTGCCAAACTTATGCCAACCTACATTTATCAAAACAAAAATTAAATTTCAAGAGCGAGTGTGTTTAGATAACTAGCAAACAATAAAAGGAAACTATGCACTCGAACGTAAGTATGAGTGTCGATACATGTATTATTAGATTTTTTAAAGTTATTTCTATGCATTTAGAAGATCTTTGGAGGTCATATCCACATATCTATCCGACACAAATGTCAGATACAGAACTTCAATGAAAAGAAGAATCCAAACAACATAGAAAGCAGAAAAAGGCAGGAAAAGTTGTGTTAGTGAAACATTAAGTACCAATGCAAAGGACATAACCAATATTAAAGCCTTCTAATGAAAGTCACACACCAGCAGCCATAAGCAACCAAAAGTAAATCCATCTGAAACATGACAATTAGGTAAAAACTTGGAACCATTCTAGTTAGCGAATGACATATGTGGAACTGGGAGCAGAGGCACCTGCCTCACTCCTTTTTTTTTAAACAAAAGAATCCCAAACATAATAACCTTCCAAAAATCCTCGAAATATATACTATTGTAGGGTCATTCAGACCTATATCGCTTGGACTCGGAAGTGAGTAACGGATACGGGATTTGTTTTTTAGGTTTGTCCATGTAATTGGAGAGTCATATCACCATACCCTCCTATGCGGACAATGATACTTCAAGTCAAGTGAAACGGATATGTTTGTAAACATTTCAACAGCATAACAAAACATATATCACACAATCAAAGTTCAACATTTTGAACCAAAATACATAATCCATCAAAACCCAAAATCAAAAAGAGATCAAGAACTAGCATAAGAGTCCACTGAAGTAAAAAAAGCTGAAATAACCCACTTAAACGAAGAATGAAATGAACAAATCAGTAGTGATTAAACAATAATAGAAATAAAACAAGCATGCATGCAACATCTCGATTCAAAAAACATATATGAAGTAAAGCATCAAACCCATTAATCATAGAAATATAGAAATCAACAAACCCACAAATATTGGAATAGAGAACGAGGATTACCTGTGGAAACCCTTGATTTTTGACTCCCTCGACTGCGTTGTGGTGAATGGCCAAACCGGTGGGAGAATGCAAAGACAAAAAGGGAAACAGAGAAAATGGGGGAAGCACGGCTTGAACTGATGAACTTGGGGAAGATCAAGCGCGCGGAAATGATGAAAATAAGGGGGGAATTAAATACAACTCCTAAAGATGACACCCAAAATTCATCTATACTCCGTGTTTTTTGTAAATTTTTTGGATTATGACTATTAAATATGACACACATCATTGTAAGTCATAAATCGTTCAGATTTTAAAAAACATGACATTTTTTTATGGCACACATGTTTTGCAAGTCATAAATTAGTGTGTGTCATCGTTCGTGTGTCATTAAAGGTATATTTTCTTGCAGTGTTCGTAAGGAATATATGTATTGATTTATGAAATTAAAATTCAAACAACCAGTTTTTGAAATTCAAGTCTGTAAACGTTGGATGAACCTATATAATTCAGGCTATGTTCAGGATGTTTTATTGAGACGTTACAGGTTTAATGCAGGGTTACAAGTTTTAATGCAAGAATTACAGATTTTTATTACATGAGTTACAAACTGTTGAATTTATATCCACGAACCTGAACAGAATTAATGCCAGATTCATTCGTTTGTGTAACAACTTTAGACAATGAATTAATATAGAAATAAAATTAGATTTTATGTTTGATCAACGTTGGACGAAAATACCCCTGCATGCAGCCTATAAATAGAGAGTTCATTTTCACTCTCAACCCAACCAATTCACTCTCAAACAATTCTCTCAAAAGCTCTTACAACTACTAAGAGATTTCCGACAATTTAAGGAGAAATACCACCGGCAGTTCACTCTGATTTCGGGTGTACAGAATTTGGAGACCGTGTTAATCTCAGGGGATGATTCGTCTATTGGAGCGATTATAGTGAATTTGTTTCTAAGGTAGTGATTACACCACGACACGGTTAAGAGTTTTTAATTTTTTTTAAATTTATTATTCTCGATTAGTACTAACGGTGTGATTTTGCAATTCATATTTTGAACATAGGACCAAGAAAAAGGTTGTCTGTTTTTCACAAATATTATTTTAGGAAAATTCTACCGGCACCCTTAATATAAGGATAAAGTAAGACACTTTTTTAACAAAACATGTAAAAATTTACCTAAAACATTATTATATTTACCTAAAACATTAATGTTTTTAACATTTTCGGTTAAGTAACCAATAATAACAAAATTGGTAAAAAATAATAATAAAACCGGTAACCTTTTACTAGATATGTTAATAAAACCGATAAAGCACCTAATAATAACAAAATCAGTATAATAATAATATTTTCAATAATTTTTATCGATTTTATTAAAAAATAATAACAAAATTTGTAGCGTATTATCTTAACCTTAGGGCCGCTCGTGAGAAATAAAGGCAGAACAGCTTTCGAAGAAAACAGTGAGGACTCGTTTACCTGTTCCCATTTCCGGGGTTTTTAGAGAGATAAGAATTAAAAGAGCAGAGCTTTGTAACAACTTACAGATCTGCAGTTGGTTGCCCTTTTGCTTTTCGAAATAAGTAATCCGCCATCGTTTTGGAATGAGTAAGCGGCATTGAATTTTGAATCCTTCAAAGATCAGGCACAGGGAGGCGAGTAAAAATGGAGTCAGAAACGGCGTCGTCGGCTGATGAACAGAAACCATCTGGTTCTGCAGCTGATACCAGAGGCAAGCATCAGATTCTAGCTGAACTTAGGCGCGTCGAACAAGAATCCAGGTTTCTCGAGGTTAGCTTGTGCTTCTTCTTTTTCCAGTATTATTCTGCTTTCCTCGTTTAGTATTTGACTGATTTGTTGCTCTTGCTAAGTTTCACCTTGAGAGGTCACATGCTTAGCATCTGTTAAATAAACAAGCTTTTTAGTAATGTTGTGCATTTGCACCTCATGAAACCTATCTAGAGTCCTGCTATTTGCCTCAGTTTATCTTTACTGCTTTCTTAAGCAGATGATGATTTAGTCTTTAAATCAAACAAGATCTGTTACTTTGAGCAATGTTATGCTTTAGTTATTTCAAAGTTGCTGTGTGCTGAGAAGGTACCATATTAGTTTTAGATTTCTTATTCTTTTGCTCTTCGTGTATTTTTCTTTCTCCGGATGAGATGAAGAGCTGAGAGAACTGACAATGTTTCAACATTGTCTTGAGGAGTAGTATAAGAATTAAGTTCTCTTTCCAATGAATTTGCTAAAGTAGAAAGTAGGAGGAGGAGGAGGAGGAGAAGGGGGGATTTGAATCTAAACGATTTCATCATTTCCGTATGCTTATCGCACGAAATTCGAATGATAACCAGTTTGATTGGATTTAATCTCTCTTGTTTTCCCCTCTCAGGTTGCTGCTTAGCGTGGAGTCAAGACCAGATCCCGCTGCTCCCAGTGTAATTACAACTTGTATTGTTCTTGTATCTCTTGTTTTACATGAAGTTGCTTTCCCCGCTAATGCTTGTGTTTGTTCTGATCACAGAACAAATGGTCTTATAAATCCATCATGGGATATTGGGATAGATGTTTTGAAGGGACCCAAGACTCCAAAGGTTGCACATGCCAAATTCTATGATTTGAGGCAATTTAACATTTGTTGCGAATACATGTTAAAATGTTACAGCTTAGTTGTTATATTAACTGTTTTTTTGGGTGGCTCGGATAAAATGTATAATTTACTGTTTCCCATTCGGATGAAATTTGTATATCGTATACATCTACTGCAGATATGAGCTTCAAAAGAGATCATTCTTGTCGTCGTTTTGCGCCCTTTCCTAAGTTATTTCCATATTTTTTCCTGATTATAAACTGTATGAACTTGTTTCAGGACAGTAAGAGATTAATTTAATGAAGAACCGAAATAAGGCAGCATTTCTGCAAAAATAGTCTGAAATCTATTCATGAAATGAAGAGTCCATTGTGTTAACGTTCACAAGATCAACTCATGCTTTTGCAGTCATGTCCACATCATATCGATATTACAAAAGCAAATGGCATTCAAGTTATTCAGTGAAATCAACCTTGATAAAGCAGTTTTAACAAGTAAAACTCAGTCCCCCCCCCCCCAAGAAAAAAAATTTACAATCTATATACAGTTGGGAAAGTTAAGCTGCTACCTGCAAGAGATTTAGCTGTAATAGCTCATATCTCGAATTTGTCTCTTGAGCAGTTTCATAACAGACACATGCATGATCAAAGAGCTTGAGTAGGCAAAGGTGTCTCAGCAGGAGTAGATGTTCCTTGTCTGAAATGTTTAGGCTGAAGCGGAGATTTGTTAGCAGAGACTCCTTTGCCCAAGTTAAAGGACCTGAAACAAACAATGCCTCCATTGTTGACTTGTAAGCACGAAGTTCTAGTTTATGCATATCGTATACTTTGTCCACAGGAGACAAGGATAAGTCTCTTTTGTAACACAAAGAAGGAATGCTGACAGCATCGGAATTATCAGGTGCATTGTCCAACGATTTAAGAGAGTTTGGCCAACATAATCACCGTTTAAACTACAGCTAGCAACTGAGCATTGGTCACTATCTTCAGTAGACCAAACAGGCCTAGATGAATCATATAAACAGTATGGAGTTGTGTCTTGCATTCTGCCATTCCTGTTAGTTGATTGCTTAATGAAGTTTTCATCAACCCCTTCATGCGAGCAAGAAATATCATTTAACTGTTTCAACAATGGAAGTGTCCTGTCAGAAGTTACATCACAGCCTCTAGAACATAGAGACGATTTCCTTTTCTTGAAGGTTCTACCAATGAAGGTGTCCATATTGCATTCTCCATATTGGCGGGCATAGCCTTTACTCTTTGCTGGTATGGGCAGACAAGTCGCGATATTATGAGCCTCACCCTTATGTTCTCGCTCTCTATCTCTTGCTCTAAATCGCATAGTTTCACCAAAATGCAACGAAGTCCTGAAATGCAAGCCTGCAGCTAAGAAAGGAATTTTTGGAGTGACGCTATCGGCCAAGATTTTGTTCTCAGCAACCTACAATCATATGTAGTCTGGTTTAGAAATACTGGTCGGTACAACACATTAATTAAGAACTAGTATGAACTATGAAGTTCATGTTATAATATGGAAAGGAAATAGCAGAGATAACGAATTTGAAAGAAACATTGTAATAACATAATCATAAGACTTATGAATGTGGAAAAAAAAAACAATATTAAAGGCAGCAAGCATGACGAATATACCCTCCCTGTCACTATCCACTTGTTGCCATGCCAAGCCTGCCTAATCCTTAAACTCGATACATGAAATTCCTTAAGTTGGATGGATCCAAAGAACTTAATGACAACTCGGTTACCGTTGTTTAACACCTTCGCAACCATTGCTACCCTCCAACACTGAATATCAAACACCTCGGCTATATCCCCAACTGCCCAACTCTTACCATTTACACTTGGAGGCAGGGGTCTAACATCCTTCCCTCGCACCTTCTCCGTGACTCGTTTTACTTTGTGGTACTCGAGCAGTTTGTACCCAACAATATAGTTGTCACCATCAGCTGAAAGTATCTCACCGGTAAACCAGGAGCCGGATGGATCGTGTTCTCTTCTTAAGACCTCCCCAAGTTCCCTTCTGAACTTCATATTGCTCCCACTCCAATATGCTTAATCCTGGATAAGAATAGTAAAAAATGAAACAGAATTAACAAAATAAATGTGAAAACCATGATATCTGAAGGTGTTATTATAAGGGTCAAGATAGATGCTTGAAAATCTATGGTGTGCGAGCAGATCCAGTGGGTGGCTCATTACAAGTGCTGGAAAGATGAATTTTTTTGAAACTTCATGTTCAGTTTAGCTAAAACACAGGGAAACTTCAATTTTAAAAAGTTGATATCAGTAATCTTGAAGAACTCCTTGTACCAGAATCAAATCTAAATCAATTAATTGAAAACAAGGGAACTTACAAATGAAATTGATTCTACAAACAGGGATATTCTAACCAAACTCAGGGAACTCATGAAAACTAGTGGGGGTCGATCAGCAAAAGGCTTTAGAATTACTCAAAACATAAATCAAGTTTTAGCAATCCACAAAACACCCAGAAACGATCTTTAGAAATTAAAAAAAAAAGCCAATAGTCCCAAAAAAGGAAGAAACGAACACATACCCAGATTCAAAATCTTATAATTATAAACTAGTATATGATAAAATAAACAGACCGACCCATATAAATATTTACAGCCAACACAGAGCTTGATTTGAATTCAAACTTTCAATTAACTGAATGAGACTGACCTGAGAGTAAAAGAGAAGAGATGGAAACGAACAGGATGAAGTCATGAACGCATCTTTACGCAAAAATTGCCTTTATTTTCGCCCTCGTCGTTGCTTTTCATTGCATGGAAGGGATAGGTTTAACAAATTTTAAATCCTGAACAGACTTCACCTCAAGTCAAAGAACTCGGATCTATAAAGTTCATAGCTATCTTCATCTTTTCCTTCTTACCCTATTCTATCAAAACATCATTAAAGATTTATGTAGTCCATTTTTTACTTCTTCATCGCCATAGCTCTTAGAGAATATAATAAAGTCTCCTCTCAACTTATTTCAGTCTTATAAATTCTCCAAAAATTATTACAACCTTCGCTAATCATATTATACGATATAAAAAAGCCCACATCAAAGGTATTCTCCGACGAAATTTGCACACATCTCATTTTTACCATCTCTTATGAGTTATGCCGTCATGGGTTTGATGACAGAGGAGAGTAGATATGAAAAATAAGTTAGACAAAATTTTAAATTACGAATTGATTTTTATAATTAAACTTAAATTAAATATGTACAAATCTAAACTAAACATATTATTATATTAGTTTTATCAATAATTATAAATTAATTAACGAAAGAACAATTTATTACTTAGGCCCCGTTTGGTGTAAATCACTTTTAATTAAAAAGTCTGTTTTGATAGTAAAATTAATGTCGGTAAAAAAAAAATTACAGTGAAAACGGTAATTTCAAACCAACCGTAAAAACTAAGATTTCTAGCTTTTTTTATTTTCAACTTTACATTTAGGAGAAATATAACATTTAAATTATGTTATTTTAAATTTTAAACGAGTGATTGTGGTTAAAATGAAATGATTAAACACTTCATCTCATTGTGAAATAGAATTGACGAGAGATGCCATAGCTTCTAGTTTAATAAATCCACTTTAATTTGTAAGCACTAATGTATTTTTTTCTAATATTCTTTTTGTTAAAATAAGTATTTAAATTATTATTTTATAATAATTTTATATCCATGTGTTAAAAAAATTGATAATATATTTTTCTTAAAAAAATATTTTATTTATAAAATTATTATTAATAAATTATCTTAAAATAATTTTTATATATTTATTATAGTTTAAGTTGATATATTTTATATATCATAATATTAATAAGTATAAATCTAATTTAAATTTTATATTTTCAATTTACAACATAATATCTATATTTTATATTTTCAAATTTATTTTTTAACAGTAATATCAAATAATTAAATTTTAAATTTACACTTTTAAACAACACTTTTTAAAAAAATATTTTTTATATCACTTTTAAAAATAATTTTTGAAAAGCTTTACCAAACTAAAGTTGTGAGACTAAGAGATTCCCCATTAATACCTGGCTTGTAAAAGGGTAAGGAACCATCATTCTCTCTTGTCATTAAGGTGATTGCTTTATTTGACCAGAATCAAGTTGATTGAAATTTTACTTAAAAAGGCTCTTGTAAAGGCCGTTTCTCATGTCATGATTAGTTTTCATCAAAGGCGCACTAAAAAGGGCTGGCCGACGGGCAGGAATCATGCCCGTTGGAAACAAGAACAGTGTAAATTGCTCTAAAATATGCCCATTTTCAGTTTAAGGTTGGGCTATCCTCTTATTGACCCAACATTACAGTACAATCTTAGGACGAGCAAGTTCAATGGAGGTTTTGGGTTGGTTCACAAACTAATCCCACCCGTACTGTTTTAAGTCGAAATAAGAGAATACATACACTGCTGTGACAATAAAATTCGCCTATTTATTCCACAGAACCGGAAGCAAGGGGATCTAATTCACCATGGTCCCAGCTCTTAAAGGCAAATGAAATAATTCTTAATATAATAAGAGATTTCATATGGTGTTTGTTTACTTCCTTCAATGCACCCAGTTCTCTCCAAGAGCAAATGCACCCAATTTATCAATTAAAATGAGAGGCGATGATTACGTTTTAGTCATGTGCATGTTGCTTTGTTAATTAATAATAGTTTTTAAAGGAAAAAATAGGTAAAATGATGAGTCGTGTGCTATCAGATTTAGAAAATTGTGGGGTTTTGACCAATGTTGGGGATGACTCTTGTTCACCAACGTATATACTTCAACTTGGCATCAAAATGTTGGGTGAATAGTCTATTCATTTTATTTATGACGAATCAAATTATATATCATTTTTTTAATTATTCAAATTTTGAGTTCTATTTTGGAATTTTTATATCCACCATTGGTAACTAGACATCTTCTCCGGTAAGTGACAGATTTCCAACTCTTAATATGCTCTTATCTAATCAACCCTTCTTTTATAAATGGACTATAACATATAACAGGAACTTATCTTCATGCATGACTTTGTTCAAAGGGCAATTATACTAAAGAAATGTCAAGTAATAAAATGATATATGGGTAAAATATTTGTTTGGCCACATTAATTAATTTTTATTTTGATCATTCGACTATTATTTTTTTAAAATTCATATTTAATGTTATATTTTAATTTTGTCTTGATCACTAAACGTTAAAAATTAATGTTAATGTTGGCATGTCACCATAAAATAATATTACATCTATATTAAAAAATAAATGATAAAAGAAATATTACACTAATATTATTATTAACTCTTTAACGATAAGTGATCAATACATAAATAAAATATAATTTTATATATAATTTTAAAAAAATACTAACTAGATAATAAAAATAAAAATTAAAAAATAAACGAGTGATCAAATAAGTAGTTTACGTGTGATGGGCACAGCTTTTAAAAAATATGGCTGTCCCTTTTTTCCCATATGTATGGGGTAAGGGGGAGGTAAGATAGTAGGCTGCCCCCAACACCAGGTTGAGAGCAGCTTCCGTAGGAGACCTCCAAATTATGAAATGCCCTCCGTGGGACTTGATCCCACGTTGAAAGTCCGTCACTCCTTCCCCAAACCCCATTTAGACCAATCAGCCCTTTTTTAGCTTAAAATATACAACACATTAAACGTTTTCTCTTAAAATAGTATATATTTAAAGATAATTTTTAATAATTTGATATTAAATATTCATATTTAATATTTTTAACATTTAAATTTAATATATAAAAAATAACAATAATTCTTTTACTATTAAAATAGTTCGTTTCGTGTCTTTAATCCAAGACAACATTCATCATTGCTTCAAGGTGCACGGAACCTTCTCTTAAGTCTGAACTCAGCATATGAGAGGCATTTCACAGAACAACATATAAAATAGAGGCACTTTTTCCCCAGCCAAAGTTTCAATATTCCTCCTATAGCTATCTACTGGGCTTTAAAAAGATAATCTAATTTATTATGACCGAGTATTTTAAACTCCCTTTTCTTAATTAAAAAAGTAGACTTCATTTTTATTGAAATTAGGAATGTATGCAGAGGAGGTGGGTCGGTGAGGGAACATGGGAGTTTTCAGCTTGGAAACTGTGCTATTTGTCAATTTTGACTGGGATTTTTTTTACTATTGCAGTTAGTGGACTTAGATTGTAATTATGAAAAGTTAATGATGAAAGGGTTTTGACGCCAGACAGAATAGTGATTATTCTGTAGGCTAGTTTCGACAGACGATTCACAAGAGAAAATTCGTCCAAAAAGCATAGAAAAAAAGTCTCTAGGGTTTAATAAAATATTATAAAATCAAAATCATCCAAAAAGCAGTCCACAAGCCGGACTGTTATAGCCAAAAATCGTCTTTATTCGAATTTTGCCAAAAATAGCAAAATCCCGAAAATCACTCTAAATTAAAATTCGAAATAAAATAAGCAATCTCCCAAAAATCCGGCCTAAATCGGATTTAAATTGACTTCCTAATTAACAATCAAAATATTACCATAAATAGTAAAAAATAACTAAATCTAGTGATCCGGATGGGAAAACGGCAGAATTTGAGGTTGAAAAAAAGGTCACATGGAGCGTAGCTCAATATGGAGAGCGTGCGCGTCGAAAAGAGCTTTCCGGATTAGGGTCTTATGCGCGATTCTGACACCTGTAGCCAAAGTTATGGCCAAAAGACTGAAACATACTCAAAACGACACCAATGAGGAACATGTCACAATCAATTCCCGCCTTTGCGCTGATCTGCCAACTCATGGTATCTCAGCGCCATCAACGTGCAATCTGACAGCTCAGCATCATCTGTCTCGGATCCCCCTGCATCAGGTTTTCTGCAGATCTGAAATACATTTGGGTTTAATGAGAAAAGATCAGAAAGGGTTCAGCATGCTTTATTTCAGTTTTTTTTGACACATAATTAGTATATATAATAGTACCTATATGATATGGATTGGAGTTCAGAGGCAGTGTACAAA